ACCCCCTGCCACAGCTGCCAGTCTCCCCTCCCTCCTTGCCAAGGCAGACCTGCCCTCTCCCAGTAAAACTGGAAAGTTTTCCACGGCCACTTATTTATTAAAGCAGCCTTTTTTTTTTTTTTCCCTCTTTCCATAAGAACGGAGCTGGGTCAGCATCCCAGACTCAGCACCCTCCCAACTGCCCACAGCAATGTAAATAACCCTGTGCACCATCCCCGGGACTCGTGTGTATCCCCAGGATGGGATTCTCTTGCTGTTTTGCCCCATGATGCTGATATGTTTGGGGTTTTTTTCTTGCTGCAGGACTCAAAGGCCCCCACAGTTTCAGGCTCCTCTATTATAAGGGGATGACAGACAAGGGATAGGGAAGAAATTGATTAAATCAGGAATGATCTCGTCCCCCAGGAAATGACACTGTGCAAGGTGCAGTAAAAGAGCATCTTTTGCCACAAAGATGTTGTGGCAATCTGAGGTCCAAAAGGAGACTGGAGACATCCGCAGTGGCTAAGCCCTTCGACGGCAATGAAACACGCTGTGATCTGTCCCAGGAATCCCCTCAGGCAGCGACTGCCAGGACCGGACACGGCAGAGCCAGGGCATCTCCCTGGGCTGCCCTACCGTAAATAAAGGGAGGGGAGGATTCACATTGGTGCCGGCAATCCTACAGTAACACAAGAGGGGCACAGCTCATTACCTCTGCAATAACAAATATGAGAGGCACAGCTACCTGGGCAAACCTAAAATAACAAACAAATGGCACAAGGCAGTAAGGATTCAGTCAGAAAAACAGCACGGGGTGTCCAGTCCCCAGGACTCACAGTGCAATGGGTGTTTGCAGCAGCTCAGCCTGCTCATACAGTCAGCAGCTTCAGCCTCTGTAAACACCTTATTTCTCTGCTTCCTGCAAGCTGCCAGCCAGCCAGAGTGGGCTGAGAGCTCGGGACTAATGTGGAGCCCTTTTGGCAAGGGGAGATGGGAGCCATAGGAGCCCGGTGCTCTGCAGAGGGAGCAGAGGGCTGGCGTGCACTGAAAGATGCCCAGCTCCCAGCCTGAGTCCAGGTCTAAAAAAGCACCTGGAAATGACCCCCTTCACCCTCCCCAGCATGCACAGGTCTCTGCTGAAGTAGCAATACGACAAGGGATGGCTGTCGTGGGACTCCTCCGTCTACCGCTCAGCAGTGATGTCTAGTTTGGGTCTTCATTTCCCAGTGAGAGCCCCACGGATGCCTTGGAGGGATCCTTTCCCTCCACCCTCTGATGTTTTTTATAGCCTAATTTCCTTCAGCAACAAGGCTGAAGCTGTCCCTGCTCACACACTCAACTATCTGTTCCCTAATTTGATACTAACAAGACAATTTTGACAAACTGAAGGGCAGAGATCTCTGACACACAAACTCCTGACAAGCTCTAGGCAGCTGGTGAGGAACCTTCCCGGTGCCAACACAAGAGGGAAAGGCGGATCCAGGGCAGGCAGCACCCACACAGTCCCCCTGCTTCGCCTCCTGGCTGGCTCATCCACATCAACCGGCAGGTGCCCGCCGCAGCTGGGCCCAGACACCCATGTCAGCATCTCCAGAGCCCCTGCACCCGCCTGCCCATCCTCACCCACCAGCTCATTCATTAACCTCCATCTGCCACCCGGGGGCTGGCTCGTGGCAGGCAGCGCTGGCACTGCTGCACCTCTACTCCCGAGGAGACGCCGGCAGGAGCAACGCCCAATTTCCCTGAATGAGCCCTAATTGTGCCTGTCTGAGACGCAGGAAGGAGGCTGGAGTTCCTCCTCCCTCGCTGTCAGGACCTGGTCCGCTGCACAGCCCCTTCCCGCCTACTCCCATCCGCCTTGCCAACCTAGCGATTGGGTTTCAGGCGGCAGCTGTTTGCAGAGGCAAAGCATGCTACATCTCTGTGTTTCAGCTATAGGCACAAGGCATAGGCAGGAAGGTCCTACTCACCCTGTCCCCAGCCAGGGGACAGTGGGAAGCAGGAGGTGGGTGGCTCTCACATCTCCATCGCTTCTCTCCACTCCTCAGAAGGAGGTGACCTCTCAGTGGAGTTCTCAGGTTTGCTGGCCACAAAGAAGAATGACATTGCTGGCCAAGCCGAGGATGCCTGGCTAGCCTGGAGGTAAGACCTGGGCTATAGCCACCTCAAGAGGATGTTGACCCTACAGCCAAGGCAGGAGACTGAACTCAACTCAGAGCCACCCCATGGCTCCATGTCTGGTCTGATGCTGTGGTGCCATGCCCATGGAGGACCCCTGGGCAAGCATCTGGAGATGCTCATGGCGCAAATCAGGCCAGAAGGACTGTGGTGTTGATGATAATTCATGCAGGCTCCCACAAGCCCTGGGAAGCAGAAAATATCCATAGCAGAGCATGGCCTGTCCTCTGCCCTGGGGCTGAGGGCTTAGTGCCCTCTCCCCACTCCAGGCTGGCTAGAGGGAGCTCTGTCGGAAGATCTATTTCCAACCCTTTCACCCTGCCCCTACAGAAGGGACACGGAGTAGCAAAATACCAGGCACAGTTTCTGGGAAGCTTCAAATTGCTCCTGTCTGACTGCCTGCTGTCCTTGACAGACATCACCCAGAGCAGCCCATGCACCTTCCTGCACCTGGGTCAAAACCCAGCCTGGGTGCTTCTGTGCTGCAGACATTTTGTTCACGTGTGAGGTCCTCACAGGGTGTGTGTGTGTGCACATGTGGGTGCGGGGCATGTGGGAACACCACCTCCCTGCTTGCTGACATTACAGAGAAGAGCAGGAAGCTTGTTCCAAATGGCTAGGAGGCTTGAATTTTTGTAATACATTTTCATTGGTTTCTGGCAGGAAGGTAGGAAAAGTATCTATTGACTGCTGCTGCTAATGATCCGTGCCTGTTACATCCACAGCCCACTGCTAGAGGACTTGCTGTCCCATTCAAACACCCAAAAAAAAGCCACATGCACCTAAGAAGGACAAGCATAATCATAGCACAACCTTGCTAAACAGCCCTCTTGATTAGTATCATGATTATTATTATTTACGGCATGAGTATTAGCATAATACACCACTTAGGAAGGTGTTTGAGAAGGACTTAACGGGGATCTCGGTTAAACCTCTAGCATAGGAATGACAGCAAATGTCACTGGTGGAGAACTTAAGAAGTTGCCCAGTCCCTCCTTTGCCCCTAAACTGGGACATCTCTTTTCAGAGGTACTCACTGCAAGATGGAAATTAAGGCTTCCGTTATCCAGGGCTGAAACATCACTGCTTAGAGAGCAGCAAGTGTCTCCCACTACATCGCGCAGTGCAACACTGCACAATGTCTCTGCTCTCCACTGGAGGAGGATTTACCCCCAGGATGAAGAGCCACCTCCCAGCATTCCCATGAAGGGAATATCCTCAGCTGCAGGACGTCACAAGTGACCCCTCATCCTGCTTTTCCAAGGGGCTCCTTGTGGTTTTGGGCCCTGGTGGCAGCTGTCTTTGGAGGATCCCAGTTTCTATCCCATCGCT